AAAAACAGTGAACACTCATATGCCTGTTTCCCAACCCCAGCCACCACCAGCGCTTGGCTAATTCCCCTCCATTCAATGCTTACCCCTGCCTTATATCTCATATATCCATATTGATTTTGAAGGAAATCTTGGCCTCCGTGTGCTTAATACCAATGCTTTTAGGGATAAAATTTTCACATACACTCTGCCCTATTTCTGGATTCTGCTTCATTTGTATATTAGACCATCTCCATGCCAATAAAACACTAAATTAGTTACAATAGCTTCATAAGCTCCATTAACTGTTAAAGTAATTGCTTTTCTGTAGGGTCCAGCCCTACTGGGCCTGTGGGTTTTTCTCCTCATGTGCAGAGATGAGAGATTGTAGAAATAAAGACACAAGATAAAGAGACAGAAGAAAAGACAGCTGGGTCCGGGGGACCACTACCACCTAGACGCAGAGACACATAGCGGCCGCGAATGGCTGGGCGCGCTGATATTTATTGCATGTAAGACAAGGGGGGCAGGGTAAGGAGGGTGAGTTGTCCAAGTGATTGATAAGGTCAAGCAAGTCACACGTTCATGGGACAGGGGGCCCTTCCCTTATAGGCAGCCGCAGCAGAGAGGGAAGGCAGCATACGTCAGCGTTTTCTTCTCTGCACTTATAAGAAAGACCAAAGGCTTTTAGACTTTCACTATTTCTTCTACTGCTGTCTACTACGAACTTCAAAGAGGAACCAGGAGTACGGGAGGAACATGAAAGTGGACAAGGAGCGTGACCACTAAAGCACAGCACCACAGGGAGGGGTTTAGGCCTCCGGATGACTGTGGGCAGGCCTGGGTAATATCCAACTTTGCACAAGAAGCTGGTGAAGCAGAGTGTCTCCTGACTCCTCCAAGGAAAGGAGACTCCCTTTCGCGGTCTGCTAAGTAACAGGTGCCTTCCCAGACACTGGCGTTACCGCTTGACCAAGGAGCCCTCAAGCAGCCCTTATGCGGGCGTGACAGAGGGCTCACCTCTTGCCTTCTAGGTCACTTCTCACCGTGTCCCTTCAGCACCTGACCCTACACCCGCCGGTTATTCCCAGGTTATATTAGTAATGCAACAATTCCCAGGTTATATCAGTAATGCAACAAAGGGTAATATTAAAAGCTAATGATTAATAATGTTTATACTAATGATTGATAATTGTCCATGATCATCTCTATATCTAATTTGTATTATAATTCTTCTTTGTTCTAACTATTTTCTTTATTATACTGCTACAGTTTGTGCCTTCAGTCTCTTGCCTCGGCACCTGGGTAATCCTTCGCCCACACTTTTCCTCATTCTTCAACATTTCTTAGCTATTCTTCCACATTCCATATTGGCAAGAGTCATCTTGCCAAAGTCTATAATACCCTATTAGAATTTATGTTGTAATTGCTTTTAATTTATATTTTCAATAAGGGAGAATTGATATTCTCATGATTTTGAGTCTCTTCATCCATGGGTATAGTTCAGCTTTCTAATTACTCAATTCTTCTTGCCTTTCAGTAGTGTTTGGTAATCAATGACAAAAAAGCCTTTTAAAACATTTTTATTGTTTGAGACGGAGTTTCATTCATGTTGTGCAGGCTGGAGTACAATGGCACCATCTCGGCTCACTGCAACCTCTGCCTCCCAGGTTCAAGCGATCCTCCTGCCTCAGCCTCCTGATAGCTGGGACTACAGGCACCCACCACCACACCCGGCTAATTTTGTATTCTTAGTAGAGACGGGGTTTCACCATGTTGGCCAGGCTGGTCTCAAACTCCCAACCTCAGGTGATCCACCTACCTCGGCCTCCCAAAGTGCTGGCATTACAGGTGTGAGCCACCGCGGCCCAGCCTATAACTTTTGCTAGATCAAATCTATGTCAGTTACAGTTTTTGTTGTTATTGGAAATTTTGTATCTATCATTTTTCCTTTCCATTTAAAAAATGCATTATGGCATGCTGCAATGCCAATTATTTTATGAGTTGCTTTTAAAATCCTGCAATCTTGCTGAACTTTCTTATTCATTATAGCTGTCTTTCCATAGATTCTCTCGGGTTTTCTATGAGGCAATGTATCACTCCTTTTCAATTATCATGCCCATTATTTCTTTTTCTTGCTATATTACATGGTTAAGGCCTTCAGTCCAAGGTGGAATAGGAATAATGATAGCAGCCATCTTTGCCTTATTTCTGATTTTAATAGGAATGGTCGCGCATTTTCATCATTACACACGATGATGCCCTACTTTAATGACTTATATCAAATTAAAAGAGATATCTTCTATTACTAGATATAGATCATTATTTTTATTTATAATGTTTAATTTTAGTGAATGATTTTTCTGCCTCTATTGAGATAAGACAATTTTTCTTTAGTTAATATGGTATACAAATAGATTTTTATTGCTGGGACAAACTCTACTTGACTATAATGAATTCATTTTGGACAAACACTGCTCAGTTTCATTTATCTAGGATTGTTTTCGTCTGTGTTCATCCGAGAGGCTGGTGAATATCTTCGAGGGTGGACACGTGGCAGCCCATTCTCAAATATTGTGATCAGGAATTAGAGATGTATCCTGGTTATTAGAGATGTATCCTGGTTGTGTCAAAGATGGAATTTGCACTTGCCCTTCTGTTTCCTCTTACTACATTTGGGTAATTTCTGTGAACAGCCATTCTACTAGTGAAAACCTTATATTTATTTTTCTTTTTAGTGCTATTTTTCTCAGGTTTCAATATAAGTATTTCACATAATGATAAAAGTGGTGTGAAACTTTTCTCAATGTTCTGTGAGAGTTGAAATAGAAGTATACATTCTTTGAATATTTGAAACGATTTACTGGTAAAGTGGTCTGTACCTGGCTCATTTATGAGAAGATTGCACTGTGAGAGCTTTCTCAATTAGCTGAGTTTGTGTATTATCGCATTTGCATTTCCAACTCTTGGCAGAGTGCCTGGCTCAAAGGAGGCACTTGCTGTGTGTTGTGTTCGTTGACCAGAAGGCTGTAGCCCACCGGCAATCACAGGGACATCCTCACTGCACTTATTATTGCCTAAATTCTCCCAATTATAAAAGTTTGACCTGGAGTTTTAAAAAGCCATTGTCACCTGTGAAATGGTAACAGTTCATAAAATAGTAACATACTGAGATTTATTAGTCACTTTGCCATCAATGTGAACGAATTGCTGAGATACTTTCCCGATTCTTGAAATTAGAATATAAATGGAGTGAGGAGAGATAGCTTAGGGTGGTAATTGTCAAAGAGGTGGGGGGAGAAGAGAAGAGAGAGAGACAGAAGAGAAGGAGAAGGAGGAGAAAGAGGAGATGAGAGGAAGAAAATGCAATGTCTATGGGGTCAAATAAGGTTTGGTAACAATTGGAGAACGACTCAGCAATGAAATCATCAAATATCAACTTTGCTTATTTCACAGTTTCACCTGGAATTAACCCTAATGCTATATGGCATGGATTTCTTGATTGAGTAAGACAAATATTTTCTCCAGGCATCTTCCATTTCAGTCATTTTTGTTTTCTAAATGTCCTTCTGTTTCTAGTTTACAAAATCTCCATCCTTCTATGCTTTATGGTGACTAAGCATTTTTTCCTACTGTCCTGTTTTGTTAGAGTCAGACTACTTAACTTTCCAGAACATGTTTTTTGTTTGTTTGTTTGTTTGTTTTTAAATGGAGTTTTGCTCTTGTCGCCCAGGCTAGAGTACAGTGGTGCGATCTCAGCTCACTGCAACCTCCACCTCCCGAGTTCAAAGGATTCTCCTGCCTCAGCCTCCCAGGTGGCTGGGATTGCAGGCATGTGCCACCATGCTCAGCTAAGTTTTGTATTTTTAGTAGAGATGGGGTTTCACCATGTTGGCCAGGCTGGTCTCAAACTCCTGACCTCAGGTGATCCACCTGCCTCGCCTCCCAAATTGATGGAATTACAGGCATGAGCCACTGCACCCGACCCAGAGCATGATTTTTTAAAGACAGGTTATGATAATTCCCAATGAAATTTTATCCTAAGTTGGAAGATTTTTAAAAGGAATATAACACTGGAATTTTTAAAGATGTGCGTCCTACTGAAAAAAAAAAAACGGGTATTGTTTTCATTTTATTGAGTTACTATTTCCATCAAATTCTTTTCTAAATAAAATGCTTAAATATATTTGATCTGGTTAACTTTGGAAGCACCGTACAGTTATTTAAAGGACAGAGAATAGTGGTATTCCCAAGGATATTACACTGAGAAATCTATTAACAGGGGAGTGAGCACTGGGGTGGAGTGCTGTCTGGTCTGGGCTTTTGTGTGATATAAGCAATGCATGAAGTTGTTACCACAATTGACCTCATGAACGCACATTAATTTATTGGATTATTCAGGTCACCAAGAGCAGTGATGGCTCTAAGGAAACAGGATGCAGGAGAGGGTCCTCTTCACTAACAAGATAGTCATTTACAACGAAAATTAGGTGAATACTGATTTGCCTTTTGGTGTCCTTGTTGGAGCATCAGAGGACTGCATGGGTCATGATGGGAGAAAGTGAGCTGGAGTCAGAGGGAAGCTTCAGTGGCTGAGTGATCTAGTGACCTGGCAAGGCGAGGTTTTGGATGAATCATGTGCTGGGCATCTACTCTCTGGGCCTCCAGGTGCCTGCTCCACCCTTCTCTCCAAGGGGTAACCCACATGCTCCTCATCAATGTGGCTTTTTATGGAGTGAGAAGACTGGGGTTGGGCTGCTGATTCCTCTGGCTGCATCCAGGGACCTTGGTTTGACTGCATGCCTCTGTCAAGGCCACAGTTTTCTCTAGGTAGATCTCATACTGTTGTAACGTAATTGGATCCCTCATTTCCCTAACAGATTTCCCCAAACCCCTTCCATGCCATCTGTCTATCTCACAGTTATCTATCATCTATGTCATTTGTCTATATATGATTTAGTTATCGTTTATCTGTCATCAATCGATCAATAATCTATCATCGATGTATCTCCATTTTTGCGCAGACCCTTCAAAATAGCTTCTTCACTGAATTCTCTCAATTCCTTCATGAAGTGTAACATCTATAGCATCTGACTGACGGTCGTTGGTACCAGAAATGGCCCCAGCAAACAAACCCTCTGAAAAGACTTCTGGCGTTGGTTGCTCCTGCAGTGGAGAAGTATGCAGATAACTTTGCAGGAGATGAGGCCCTGGTACGTGGCTCCACACGGTGGCACCAGTTTCTCAAATTGTCCTCAGTGGTGGCGTGAGAGGAAGTGCAGTTGCAGGGACGAGGGATGGGATCAAAGGGCAATAGTCCTGGTTGCTTTGACAACAAAAGTGAGATCAGGACTGTGAGGTCAGCTGGCTGTTTCTGGTGACTCTAGACATTGTATACAGAGAAAAGGAGAAACTGGAGATTGTGAGGATTATTATTATTGATTAGTATTACATGTGTTTTACTCAGAGCACACTCAGACAGTGAGAAAGCCTGGCAGCTTGGTGGGAGCTCCTCACTTCCTAGTCATGGCAGATGTGGCTGAGCTCTGCCTGATGTATGGGCTGTGGACCTGCAGCTTCGATGAAGGCACAGCCCCACGGCTCTCACTCTCAGGTAATGGCTGGTTGGGGAGAGGTGGGAGACCGAGACGTGTAAGAGACTAAGAAGTTTAAACCTCCAATTCTCCCTGAACTTGTCTTCAGGCAACTCCTTCTCCAGGTATAAATGCCCTTCAGAGAATACACCTGCGGAATCTGCTCACAAACAGGTGCACGTCCCTCTCGGCTGTAAGCCCTACCACCCCAATTGCCACCAGGCGCATAACGCGATTAGATCCCAGCACAGCCCAGACGGAGAAGCACAAATCCTTGTTTTGGAGGCGATAGTCTGTCTACCAAGAGAATTACAGGGTCCTGCCAATTACATCTGCTGGGGCCTGGGGAACATCATGGGATGCCTTCGAAGGCTGTTAGACTAATAAAAGTCAAATGGAAGCAGTGATTGGGCTGTATTTATTGACGTGGGTATAAATATTCAGGATTTGGAATGTAATATGTTGGCTTGAGTCTACCAGGTTGGCTGAGTGAAGCCTGGACTCAATGGTGACCTGGAGTCAAGGAAGCTCAAATTCTGGAATGTCTCCATCCAACAGCCCAGGAAAAATGGGGAAGTTAGAATGGGCCTATTAGGGGCAACCTGCTTACCTACCTTCTAATGAGGTCTCTTCTCCTCCTCCTCCTTATTTACCTCCTTTCTAGTGGGGCCTGGAGGGCTATCCCTTAACCGAAGTGTGATGTGGTGTGTGCTGTCAGCCAGATGTTCCAGTCAGCTGGCAAGGAGCCTCCTCTTGAGTGAGTTTTGTTGGCCTGTGTCTTTGAGGGACACACATTTCCTTGCCTGTTCATCTGAAGTGGTGGAATTTATGAGTACACAGTGGTTCCTAATGCCCCCTAACCACCCTGTCAATGTCTGTGGGATCTATGGAGAGGTCCACTGTCATTCCTCCATCAGTCATTGGCGTCTCCTCTTGTTCCGGTTCAGCCTGGCTAGAGGTTTATCCGCTTTGCTCAGCCTCTCAATCAGCTCTTGTTTTTCACGATTTTCTCTCTTGTTTTTGCATTTTCTATTTTATTGACCTAGGATTTGTCTAGTACTTGTTTTCCCTCTGCCTACTTGGGGCTACTGGGAAGCAGGAGCGGGAGGCAGGAGGCAGTGAGAAGAGCAAAGTCCCCACCTGGCCACGGCTCCCACTGGGCTTCCTTCTCTGGGCTGCAGGAACTTCTCCTTTCCCTTTCCCCTTCCCGTCAAAGAGTAGTGAGAACCCCCCACCATCCTCAGCCCTGAGATCCTGCATCACCCCTTGCTGCCATTCCTAACTCTGCCCACATGGTTAGAAATGCCCCCTTCATTAAACCTCCTTTACTCAGTCAGTGTGGTGTGCTGTTTCCTGCTGGGTCTTGTCTGCAGATACACATTCTTGTCATTTATTTCCGAATTTCTTCAATTTTTTTTTTTTTTTTTTTTTTTTTTTTTTGAGACGGAATCGCTCTCTGTTGCCCAGGCTGGAGTGCAGTGGCCGGATCTCAGCTCACTGCAAGCTCCGCCTCCTGGGTTCACACCATTCTCCTGCCTCAGCCTCCCGAGTAGCTGGGACTACAGGCGCCGCCACCTCGCCCGGCTAGTTTTTTATATTTTTTAGTAGAGACGGGGTTTCACCGTGTTAGCCAGGATGGTCTCAATCTCCTGACCTCATGATCCACCCGCCTCAGCCTCCCAAAGTGCTGGGATTACAGGCGTGAGCCACCGTACCTGGCCACATTCTTCAAATTTTTAAAAAGACTTGTAGGGAACGTGTGAACTTGTTCTTCTGCCACGGATCTGTGGCTAAAATTAAGCTGGTTTGGTAAAGTCAGTTTGAAATTGTGGGCCTGGAAAACCGCTGGCCTTATTTTATAAAGAGATCTTATAAAATTATAGTGTTCATTGGGATTATTCTTTGATCTGTGTTGATAATTCAAGATGTTTACCACTTAATCTCCTAAGTGAAGGCTTTGTGAATACTAGTTTCATTTGCTTTGGCTGCGGATTGCTAATTGATTCTAAGTTGAGCAAGAAACTTATACAGAAGGCAGAATTTGCAAAAGTCAGGGAAAATGCCAGTCATCAAAAAATTCTTTGTGCCAATGACTGGACCTGGCCTTAGAAGACAAAAATGGGATTAAAGCATGGTCCCTGCTCTTCAGGAACCTGTAACGAAGTGGAGGATACATTTGTAAGTAAATAATAGTACAAATAAGTCTGTGATGAGAAGTGTAATAGAAGCAATAAACAAACACTACAGAGGCACAGAACCTTCACAAGTAAAGTGCTCTTGTCGTATGTAGTAGCAAAATAATCCCTCCCAATGCCAAAGATTTCTATGTCCTAATTCCAAGGACTGGTGAGTACGTTACCTTACAAGGCAAAGAGGAATCAAAGTTGCAGGGAATTAATGTGGGAATTAATGTTGCTAATTAGCTGACCTTAAAGTAGGGAGATGGTCTTGAATTATCTGGGTGGGCCCGGTATAATCACAGGGGTCCTTTAAAACAGAAGAAGGAGGTGTCAGAAGAGAGTCAGAGAGAGATGACTCTGGAAAGCTGGGCAGAGAGACGCAATGTTGCTGGATTTGAAGATGAAGGAGGGGGCCATGGCCTTAGGAATTTAATGGCCTCTAAAATCTGGAAAAGATAAGGGAATGAAGTCTCCTTAGACCCTCCAGAAAGGAAGCAGCTCTGCCGACATCTTAGCTTTATCCCCACGAGACCCATGTGAGGCTTGTCACCTACTGAACCACAGGGAGATACGCGTATGTGGTTATAAGCCATTATATCAGGCTTGTTATGCAGCAATTGGAAACCGATACACTGTATCTGGGAAGGAGAGAGAAAGTCACTGCAGGCAAGTGGACTAGGGAAGGAAAGAGCAGGGGTGACGGAGGCTTCCCTGTGGAGAAACAACAGAGCCAGAGGTGGACCTGGGTCAGATGTGAGAGGGCCTTAAGAACCACGCCGGATTTTCGCCTTTACTCTGTGAAACAGAAAAAGAGTGAGTGAAGTTTTTGAGCACAGCACCGACATTCTTGGTTTTGTCTTAAAGACGGTGGTATTACCACGTCTGGAGCAGACTGTTGGGAGTAATTGGGAGAGATAGATTCTCCTGTTTTACCTGAGTGATGTCTTCATATTGAGGCTTTTGTGTTCTGTTTGAATCCTGGAATAAAGGACCTGTGCATATTTGTATGTGGGGCCACATGGTGTAAAGACCCCACCATCTTCTTGGTGGCTCACAAGGCCTCGAGCTTGCTGGAGTGTAGGGGCCACTGTCTGGCCCAGGCAGCCGTACTTCATCATAAGTTAATATCAGCTCAACAACTCACTCCAAAGCCAATTCTTTGTTATTTGTTTTAACAACCTGCTGTTTTGAATTATCTCTCTCTCTAGTTTCTGTCATTAATGTAAATAAGCATAGACTGCATGATTGATTACATTGATTGTGGAAGAATTGGCCATTAAAATAGCAAACTGTAAAAGAAAGATGAAACTAAATCTCTACCCTCTCCTCCTCCTAAATGTGCAAATTCTAAAACCAGTTCCTTACCCTAAATTCTCAAGCTGTGGGGCTCTAGGTTCTGGGATAAGGGAGGTTTGGAAAACGCTGGTTAAAAAAGCTTATTTAACTGGGGATCTCTTAGGAGGCAAGTACGCCAACAACCCAGGAGGCTGCAAGGCTTACTTCGCAACGGAACCCTTTTGTTCAGAATGTATTTTGAGACGTGTGTTCCTCCAAATGCAATCTGAGCAGGAGGTGAGGAAGAAGAGCGCTCCCCATGGCGCTGGGAGGCCTCATTTTCAGACCCGTTTATGGCTCCAAGAAGCTCAGTGACACGAGTGAGAGGCTTTGAGTTCCGCATTGTCCGTTTCTAGGCTCGGTGAAACTGATTCATGATGCTTGATGCTGTGATTCTTTAAAATCCATTAGGAATGACCTTGTTTCACATATTAGTGGATAATCACCAGTTATTGACTAATTAGTGATTAGATTTCTTATCAAATTGTTTTGTAGTCAGTCATGTTATTGCTGCATATAGTTGCTAAGTAATATTATAGCTATCCTCGAACTTGATGCCTAGAACGTGAATATAGGGTATCTAAACAAGGAGGTTACCTTGGTCGTGGAAACTAGAGTTTGAGATGCCTTCCTATACAGATTCTAATCCTTCTAGCAAACTCAGAATTGTGGGAAATGTGCCTCAGTGATAGAGAGAGGCCACAGTCTTGTGGAGATGAACATACTGAACTCACATGGCTAGTTGAGGTTTCTGTGTGTAAATCTGCTGATCTTATTAAATCTTGCAACTTTGAATGAAAAATGAATTTTTATTTAATAGTCTCTGGACATCTGTTCTATAATATGGGTTTTAATACTCATTGGATGTTGTGAAGGATCTAATCTCTCCACAAATAAGTAAATTTACAAAAAAGTAAAGATAATTGTTAGTGAGAAAAAGGAGATCGCTAAACCAGAAATGTAAGGTTTCATAAGGTGTGTGCATGACTGTGTCTACCCACATGTATTTCTGGATTATATGTGTATACATGTAAACATATGTAGGCATATCCAGCAAAACACACTTGAAAAAATACATTAAAGCGTTAGGAAGGGCTAAGTCTGAAGTGGAATTATAAATGATGTTTCTTCTCTTCTTCCTTGCCTTTCTCAAATTATCTAAAGTGAGCGTACTGTTTTTGTAACCAGGGGAAATAAAGATTTGTTTAAAAAGCCAAGTTAAAAAAATCAGGCCGGTGCGGAGGCTCACGCCTGCAATCCCAGCACTTTGGGAGGCCGAGGCGGGCGGATCACGAGGTCAGGAGATCGAGACCATCCTGGCGAACACGGTGAAACCCCGTCTCTACTAAAAATAAAAAATAAAAAAAAGTTAGCCGGGCATGTTGGCGGGCACCTATCATCCCAACTACTCGGGAGGCTGAGGCAAGAGAATGGCTGAACCCGGGAGGCGGAGCTTGCAGTGAGCCGGGATCGCGCCACTGCACTCCAGCCTGGGTGACAGAGTGAGACTCCACCTCAAAAAAAAAAAAAAAAAAAAAAAAAAGAAAAAAAAGAAAGAAAAAAAAAGAAAAAAAAATTCAAGGGTACTTTCCTGTATGTATGGCTCATGCTTTTATTGACTGAGGGCAAACAGTCTACCATTGCATAATGGATAGGAGGGCCTTTCTCTTACCGCTCTTCAATCCACTTACCTACTGAGGCTGTAGAAGCCAGGACAGGTCAGCTGTTTGTGCACGTGCTATTCTGCTATTTCCATCGTGCACGTGCTATTCTGCTATTTCCATCGTGCACGTGCTATTCTGCTATTTCCATCGTGCACGTGCTATTCTGCTATTTCCATCGTGCACGTGCTATTCTGCTATTTCCATTGTATTCATCTCTGAACTTTGATAGGAAAAGTAATTCTGCTGCCCTGAAATTCACATAAAAATTCCATTTTAGGCCAGTCGAATCTTAAAAACAAGTAGTGATCAATAAAACCTAGACAAATGATTTTAATTCTTGGGGGTCTCATTAGATTGGGAATGTGTGTTGGTTTCATGTGTCAACTTGACTAGAAGATAGTACTCTATTGTTTAATTAGATGCACATCTAGGTATTGCTGTGAAGGTACTTTATAGATGCGGTTAACTTTTAAGATTTCCCTGGATGTTGTGGGTGAACCTCACCCAATCATTTGAAGGCCTTGAGAGCAAAACCCGATGATTCCCGGAGAAGAATTTCTGCATCGTGCCTGCAGCAT